ATCGAACTTTTAGAAATTGATTACATGCATTCTTTTAAGCCAAGAAAATCTACTTGTAAGCTGTTATTGTTTGATCCTCTCTCTCTTTTGATAGATAAAAAATAGATCAAAAAGGAAATATCAATGGCAGGGGCCAAAAGCGTGTTGGGCGATCTAAAGAACCAACGATGTTGGGGCAACGGGAAGTGGCGAGAGGAAGTGACACCGTTGTTTGTGAGGGGTTTTAATGGCATAGGGTTTGACCACGGCAAAACTAATTTAGGTTTGTTTTTACTTTAAAGCACTCATAGTCAGTTACAAGTATTTTTTTTAAGTAAAAAACGTAGCTAACCAATGTTTAGAAGTTTAATGGTTTATTTTATTCAAAAAAAATGTTTAGGAGCCTAATTATTTGAAATGAGAAACTTTAATGGTTTTTAATTCAAAAAAATAGTTCAAGAACTTAATCTATACTATATTATAAAACATTTGACAAAAACTCTTAAGAATCATTTTTTATACATGAAGTATTTATTGATGCATATTACTTAAAATTCAAGATTACAAGTAAATAATGCATAAGTACAACTTATTAAAGCTTCATGCTTGAATTCGTTTAACTAACTACAGATAAACATAATCAAATATTGGATAAACATTTTATTTTAAATATAAAAAATCTAAAATATAATTAGGATAATCATTGTGTTCTAACAGAATACTTAATTTTATCTTTTTAAAAAATTATATTGTTAAATCAAAAATAAATTACTTTCTTATTAAACCTAAATTAAATTATAATAAAAAATAAATTAAATAAATTCCACAACAAAAAAAGAATTTTTAAATAGTTAATTGATACTAATATCAATATATTTTTTAAAATATCTTCAAATTTATGTTTTATTCAAAAATAAAAACATTATAGTTTTTCTCAAAACCATATAAATCCGTATTAGAACATCGACAGGGGACAGAATAAAACAAAACATTAAACTCGAGATGTATCTTTTTCCATTGCATGAGTAACCTTCTACTCATTTAAAATAAAAAAAACTTTGATAATTTCTTCATTCAAAAGAAATAGTTCAAATACTTTAATCATTCAAGATAGGATAATTCCTTTTTAAACTAAAACAAATTCACAAAATGCTTGTTAGTCCATTTCTTTTAACTAAAAGGGTACTCACGCAACGCAGCGAGATACATCTTGATTTTAATATTTTGTTTTATTTTTTATCTCAATCGATGTTATAATATGGTCTTATGTGATTTTAAAAAAACGACAATGTTTTTATTTTTAAATAAAATACAAATTTTAAGATATCATAAAATTTGGACAAAAATATATCGATATTAGTATTAAATAAATTATTTAAAATTTCTCATTTTTAGTGTAATTTTTTAATTTAATTTTTTTATAATTTAGTTTATGTACAATGATTAAGTAATTTATATTTGATTTAATAATATAAACTTTTTATAAAGATATAATTAATTATTTTGTTAGAACTCGATGATTATCCTAATTATATTTTAGATTTTTTATATTTTAAAATGAAATGTTTATCCTCTATTTGAATATGTTTATCCGCAGTTAATTACACAAATTCAAACATAGCGCTTTAATAAGTTGTGCTTACGTACAATTTACTTGTAATCTTAAATTTTAAGTAATATACATCAATAAATACCTTATGCATAAAAAATGATTTTTAAGAGTTTTTGTCATAATTCTATAATATAGTATAGATATAATTGAGTGAACAAGGCTTTGACCAATCAAAAACCAGTTCTAACCCCTACTAGGCTTCATTGGGCCGGGTTCTTAGGAAGAAAGTTCTTTTATATCACAAAGTTTTTAGGATATAATTCATTGGATTTTTTAAACGCTATCAAAAGACGGAAGAAATAGCAAATTTTTGGACATTTATTGACGGAATCCACCTTTTTCTTTTAATTAACCCGGTATTCAACCCGCTATACGAATCGACTAATCATAAAACGATCACCTGCCAAAACGGGACCCGAAGTCACTGTATTTGAACCTTCGTAACCACAAATGATTTTTTATTCCTCTTTGGATTCGAACCTGGGACCTTCAGGCACATTTGACTTTTGAAACTCAAGCTTAAACCAATCGGACACCACCCTTGTGGTCGACGAGATCCACTTGGATTTGGCAAGATTATTTCTTATAAATGGCTATTTTTGGTGGATTGAATCATTTCATATTAGGCAGAAAATAAAAATAAATCATATTGAAATATTCTATTACTGGAAAAAGAAAGTTGTAAGCAGCATCAAACTTCAAAGATAAAAGACTTTGAACAGAACATGTTTTCATCACTAGTCTACCATCTGTGAAACCTGAACAAAAATGACGCGAAAAGAGTCTTGTCTTAAATTCGAGAGGATGTTGGTTTCTACTAAAATTGAAGCATAATGAACGATACGAACTTTCAACAAGGTAAACATAACACAATTATTCCTGCATTGTCTCGGCTTTGTATCAATTTGGGACTTCCAAATTATCATATTCCATCGAGCAAATAACCAGCAACAGCAAAGTCTTCAGATCCGCTTATCGATGCCCTCTGAACGTTTGCTCGTCAAATTGATAGGGAAAAAAGAGGGAAAAAAGAAACAGGAAATGGGGGGAAAAGGCCCGAACCAGAAGTGTACCAAAATGACAAGAATGTTGGACCCTTTTTTATGCACCCATTTTGCTGTTTGGTTCAAGGTGGTTCTGGACCATAGTTCCCAGAAGTCATCAAACATAATATTCATAGGTTTTTCCCATTGGTCATGGGATGTTAAAGCGGTCCAATAACTCAGTTAGGCAGTGACCATGGTGTCCACACAGTCGACCATCAAGGAACCATATGTTGATTCTCTCATGCACAATTGCCAGAAAACCAGATTCCGGCAATTGTGCTAGTCGACACTCCACGAGTGTGACACCAAACATGTAGGGACAAGTCTGTTACCAGTTATACAGACCAGTTAAAGTGCAGTTTTTGCACTTCTCACATTTGTTGTCCGGGATTCAGCAATTGATTTTTGAAAATTGACTCCCTTGGTGTCCATGACTTCTGATGACCTGAAAATCCATCAACCAGAAGTTAAGGTAAAAACAGAAGCTCTATGTCGATAGAGTGAGGTTCAGAGGAAAACCCTTAAAAATAGAAACCTGGGAACCCATCAACCATTAGATCATACTAAAGATTTAAGGGTAATTAGTAAATGATTAAAAATATTTGCATTACCTCTTGACAGAAACGGCTGTGACATCCAAGGCCAAAAGTGAAATCTGCCACTCAAGTACCAATTGACGTCATCCTGCAGTTAGTGAACACCTGCTTGTAAATGAAGACATGCTTAGAAACGGGTAGAAAAACGGAGAATGAAGGCATATAAGGTAATATATGCACCTCAGAAAGCGATGGCTTTTCTCCCAATTAAACCCTCTTTACTCAGAACCAGTACCCTGAGTGAACTGAGAAGGATGGGCACTCCTCATCTGTTCCAAAAATGGTGGAGCAACACCTGAAAAACCAAAACTTCATTGTGTAAGCAATTTATATAACATACCATCCCAATTCTATTCTTGTGGTACCACACACCTATCACTGTTTGAAACAAGAGGTTTAATAAAGTTGTAGATGGTAACATGTTCTTCATTAGTCCACAACAAGCAGAAAAATGTACAGTAATATGCATAATTCTAGCAGCATAACATACATTTCAAAAATCATACTTCCATCTCCCGCCAGCCACTTTCTAGTTCATCTGCCATGAATGATTTTTTTCCATGAAAGGTTTCAATTCTTGTTTAGACTTTAGACAACTTAACTGCTGGTGAATATGAGTATGCACAGGATGACAAAATATTCACATTCTCCATCTAAAGAGAAGTACCATGAGTAAGAAGTGATGGAAACTAAAAGGATCCCATGTACTGAACCCCATCAGTTTGTAATTTTGGGATCCTATTTTAGTGACAGGTTTCATGTAAAAAGCAAAACACAGTAACATATTGGTTTGTATTTCCCATACTAGATACAATTTTGCAAATTGAGGTTGAAGATTGGATTCTGTCTCTAGAAAGTGAAGCAAGACCGTGCTTGAAAGCCCTATCATCTCAATTCTCAATGAAAACATGGGTAGTCTTGTTTTGATATACTATAGATCAAGCTTATCGACGTACGTCAGATCAGTACAAACTGATAAAATCCTATCCTTTTTACTCTTCTATACTCCCTTAGGTGTGAATTACCTAAATAGATCAAGGAAATCGAAATCTACATTAAATAAATGCTCTTTAGAGGTTTCTCAGTTTCAGCAACTCCCTCACTGTCTTCTCAATGTTTCAAGTGGTGGATGCAAAGAGTATAGTAGAATGGGGTCATAACAATCTTATTAACAAACCAAACTTAACATTGGGGATCAAAATTCACGCACTCAAATAAGATCTAGTGATTACAAATATACAAAAATATTGTGAATGGTCTTAGGTACACATCAACAAATTCTCAAAATAAATTTGTAGAAACAAAAGGAGAGAAATTTTATACATACAATCTTATCAACTAATCAAAAAATCTAACGAACTAAGCAAATAATGGCCACAAAACTTGGACCATATACAAATAGATTGATAAATGATAGAAATAGAAGTCAATGAAAGATACATATTAGAGACTAAAGCGACATTAGCAAGTAGTTAGATCCAAACAGGGACACTGAGAGATCATTCTCAGTTTTTTCAACATAGTTCAAAATGTAGAGCGAATAGGACTTATACTTTCACAGTCTCATGATTATATTGAGAACAAGACTGGAAATTTTGAATCAAATTTATTTCCAAATCAATGGTTGGGCTGTACAATTACAAGTGAGCTTAAAACATTTATTATGTATCTATTTGCTCTTCATTTTCATTTATAACATTCTTGACTTCTTGTGAAGTAAATATATCATTTAAAAATTTCACTGTAAATGATGAACAACTAGACAAACATAACAATTAAATAATAGTGGTCAAAATTCTGTGTCAATACTGTGGTCACTTGTAAGTGATAATAGATAAATCGGTTTCTTTTCTCATGATACACAAGTTGACAAATAACAATTTTGACAAATAAAAAGAAGAGATGCATGGAATAAGCATGCTACAGGCTACTTTAGATACATAAGAGGAAAACAATGTCTACACGAAGAGTTGAACCTGCGTTGGCAGTGACACATCATACGTATGTTTTCTCATTTAAAAATGTAGCTAAAGCAACAAGCATTGTTACACACTGCCAGACTCCATCAGAATTTTGCATTAGTCAGTTTCTTCCCTTGACCTCTATGAATGTACTCTCTACTTTAGTTTTAGGATGGTAGCTTCTACAACATAATATAGTTCAAATGATAGCAAAATCTGAAAACAGTGTATAACATTATCATCTGAGCTTGTTGAGAAAGGTTTCTTTCAAATTAGCATACGGCTAATTAGTTGCCAAACATAATCCCAATGAAACAGGACAGCTGCAAAAAAGGAAGTCATGAACTTCAACAATCCCACAAATCTATAACCATCCGTCCTACAAAATAGTGTCGAGCTTATTCTCGACTGCTATAACTTCTCTCTCCAATTATTGCTCTTAATAGGTTATACTTGGTAATAACAAAACAAGTGTATCCAGGTTAATCAAAAAAAACAATATATATGCCATACGTGGTGGTTTGATCAGAGATGGATCTAAGATAGGAATCCAAGTGTATCAAATCCAAAAGGCTCACAAGAAAATATACTAAAATGGACAAAATGTCGCACTAAGATATCAATGCTACTAATTTAATGCATCCTACACCCTCAAAAGAGATGCAAATAAGAACACAACCTCCCCATCAGTTTCTGATCTGAACTGAATATCCATCTGCCCATTGTAAACCACATTTTGGAGAAGGTCGAAATGGAAAGCATGTTTGGAAAATAGGTAAATGTTGAAAGCAACTAACTCAATGATACTTTTTACCAACTAAATAGACTCTTCATCCTAGAAGTTTGGAATAAAGAGGTGATGTATTGACAAGTTGCCAGCCTGAAACTAAATTTCAATCTGCACACCATCTGCTTTTTAGCGACCCTTACAAGGATACTGATGTTGATGAGGATTCAGAGCTGTTTTAAGTAAAGATTTTTGCAGAGAGGCTTCCATCGTCAGCTTCCCTGACTAGGATGGAGCATGCTGTGAAAAACCAGGAGAAGATATACAAAATATTGGGCTGGGTGTGTCTTTTGTTAGAATCAAACCCAATTAAGTGCTTTCATGTAAGTAGAGAATACTAGTCCTATATAAGGTAAATGCACGAAACGGATTGATGGCTTTCTTAATTTGTACTTTTAGCTGTTATAGAGAAAATTAACTCACCGGGTTAGGGTGTTTTCATCACTGCAGACAATTTCTTTCCTACTATACTCTAGTACGACAAGTGTTATTTAAAGTGCAAGGCACCTCGAAGAGCAAAGGTCTTATGCAGCCACACCTCCTAATAATCTTAATTCCTAAATATGATGTTGAGATGAACACACAATGCAAGGAGTAATAACCAGCATTTATATTGGAATGGTTCTATGGCCAATCCTTCTATGGCTGTTTTTTCAGACAAGGTTTATTTTGCAACTTTGCAAGTCACTTTACCATGCATATATTACTGAATAAAAAAATTAATGTAAACAATGCATAAAGAAAAAGATTCACCTGGTTTTTAACCATTAGTCCGAAAGACGGAGGTTGTATATGTTCACTTCCTTGCGTGCAAGGGGGTGATGATGCACGCAAGGAAGTGGGCAAGCCAGGTGAACAAGGTGCGGAAACAGGATTGACTACGGATTTGAGCAATAGCACATGGTTTCATACAACCACAAGATTTTTATATAAGTAGATGGAGGTTCAAACGAGAACAGTAACTAAATAAAAGAACACGAAAATGGCCAAATCACATGTGATTTTACACTAACACTCCACGTGAGGTGTAAGGGTGACGTGGCCCGCAACCTCAAGGTCAAAGCCAAAGTCGCGTGAATCACATATGATTCTACACGTGATTTTAGTGTAAAATCACATGTGATTCGACCGTTTTCTTATTCTCTTGTTTGGTTATTGTTCTCGTATGAACCTGGCTATATATAAGTATGTATCCATCTAAAATATATGCATGTTGAGGGTCCTTTTAAGTGGATGATTCGTTGCACTGTCGGAGGGGACTTCTTTGAGTTCTTTGAGAAAAAGTTTATTTCCCCATATATAACTTTGGACCATTCAGAGAGTGGTCAATCAAATTTAATGTGCTAAATTTACTATTTGGCACTTTGATATTCCTATGCAAGATTAAAAAAATCCAATGTGTTATCCTGCTATATATAGTCGGTCCTAATATACCTTTGTTCTTCACAGCAGTCTCTATTATACGGCTAAGTTCTTATCAACCCGATATTGCAAAAGGAATGCACATGTTACAACCGACTTCCTTTGAAGAGGACAATTCTTACCCACAACCAATGATCTCACCTTGCTATCTGTTTCTCCAGTGCATCTTACTGGAATCACCAAGGAGGCATTTACCAGATATATTAAACCCTTTCTCCATTTGCACTGCCATGATAGTCATGGTCTCAAGAACGATTTCAACTTCCGGGCAAGTCTACTCTAGCCCTCAAGACCGGCAGAATCCTGTTTCCACAAAACTGGAACTTGAGTAGGAAGGTGCAACCTGGTTGCCACTCGTGATAACTTCCTTAGAGAATGCCTCTATGAGGATGGGTGGAGTTATTGGTCATATAACCACAATGAGGACCTTACTGAATCGGAAAATCTAAGAGATGGTAACATCATCGCAACAACGTTTTTGAGATGAGGTCAAGGACAGGATCCGAAATGGTAGCAACAAGGGGGAAGTATAAAGAAGGATATGACGGTTCTCATGGTGCATAGTGGCATTCTTCACATGGATCTACTTCATGTTTTTGGAACTCCCGTGTTCAATTTATTAAGTTGTTTACAGTTGTAGGAGGAAACAATTGGCAACTTTGTATTAAAAGCTCTGGTCTTACATCCACTTTAGGGACGTACCCTTCAGTCTTGTTCAGCAGTTGTCTTGAAAAGTGGCTTTTTGTAATCAAATGGTCTAATGTTGATTAACAGACTCAAAACTTTCTCTTTTAGCTTCATTCGTTTATCTTCTTTACAGGTTTAGTTGGTTCATACTCCATTTAAAACTAAAAAGATTCCAAGACAAAAAAAAAATTATTCATTAAGAATTCCATAAAGATCAATCTTCATTTCGCTTCAATCAACCCCATGCCTTATGCACCTCATACCTCACGTGCTTGAGCCTCAACAGCCAAGACACACACCTTGATACAGTTAATGTGTCTCACCCACCACAAGACCCCAAAGATTAGGCTTGCGTCTAGATGCATGACCATAAGCAGCTTTAAGAATGCCAGCTAATGTTCAAGCCATCACCAATGAAACAGCTTTGTAACCACATTAGCAACTCATGAGAAGATTCTAGGCATGAGAATATTGATGATTAAAATTGACCCCTTAAGCATTGAACCTAGTGGAGTTCTCCTTCAGGTAGAGGATGTTGACTTCGGTGTCAATGCCAAAATTTCCAATTTAGGCATTTTAACTACAAGAGATTGAAAGGAAAAATATACATACACAAACATGATGCATGTTTCATATGAAATATACACATACAAACCTTCATATGAATAGTATTCAGACCATTTTAAGAGAGATGTGTGTTTAAATTTGAAAAAACAAAAATGTTTCTTTTTGAAATGTCATGCTTGATGGAGATCTTTCCAAAGTCTTTAGTTGCATAATTATGTAATAAATAACTATCCCTTTTGTTCTTCCAATTAATATTCTAAAATCTAAAATGTAAAATAATATATACTTAGAAAACTCATCCTACGTGGTATACTGTGTGTTAACACACAGCATACATATTATCCAAAATCCCCAAAGAGAAGTAAAATATTGTGCTTTTAAAGTAACAGCCATACATCATATCCAATATACCCAATATCACATCCATATTGGTGAATCCATAGATATGGCACAAGTTTTGACTGACACACACAAGGAAGTGGTTTATCAGCTGAGTGCTGCACACGCAGAAGATCCTGTACCCTGGATGCCTAGATGCAGCCAAAGAAAACATTAAGATCTAGGGTTTATCATGTATTTAGTGTGTAAATATGCATGCATGCACATGTACCTCCTGGGACTCTTCACAACTACATGAACTAATTATTAGATATTAGATAGCTAAAGTAAAAAAGACCTACCCGTAAGGTATGGTGCCGGAGACATTGGAACAGCTTCTGTTGTTGCCAAACTGACACTTGGTCTAGGATATGGCAGAACATGAGGACCAGGTGTTACCATCCCCTGAAGCGCTCTATGCCCTGGGCTTCCAGGTGGAGGAGGGCCCATTTGACCATACGGAAAAACATTTGTGTTAATCGCGCCAGGTATGCCAAACATTTGAGGATTATGTTGCAGCTGACCCATGTAAGGATTATAAGGGACCTGAAAGATAATAGATAGATTACATACAACAATCTAACACTTGTCAACTACATGGGTTGTAAAACATTAACGCAACACAAACTCAAGAGTATTCACCTGATGTAGGACATATTCGGGCCCATAGGGTGGATACCTATCAAAACCAAATTTCTGATAAATATGAAAGAAATAATGAATTCAAGTACTGATTTTACATTTTTAAATTCAGTAGAAAAGTAACTGTAGAGATCAGGTATATTTTCATGCACATGCATTGGATTGGATACAATTATACGGCAAAGAACAACCCGGGCTTAGAACAACGTACAATTAAACATACAAAAGCTTGTCCATGCATATCTATATATCCCTTCCCATTGTTATGGTAACATATTAGGTAGGTGTAATTCTACTTTGGTCTCTAATGCCCGACTAGTTTCCCCTGGCTTCTCCTTGAAGAGCTTTCTCCTTGCATATAGGAGCTTTAAACCAATGCAGTTCAATTGAGATCTTTCTTGAAGAATAACATAGAAGTATAAGAGGTCAGAAAAAAAGGTGCAAAGATATTAAACAAATATTTTGATGTAAAAGAAGTCAGGCAAGGTTACAAGATTGACTACCGTCATTTAGAAAAAGCAAAGTCAAGCCACAATGGTCTCATCATTTCGGAATAAAAAAAACTATTATGCTTAAAATTTACAGAAGAATGCATTAATTCAAAAGGTAACAATGAGGTATTTGGACCACATTCAGCAAGATAAAAGGTCAATAGGAAAACATGAAATCAAGTGCTCCTTTACAATGTCCCTTCTAACACCTAACAACTTAATGACTCAAATACCATGAAAACCATATCTCAACTTGTAAATTTTGGATGACCATTGATAAGATATAGATGAATGATAACTAACCCATATAAGGAATACGGGAATTGCTGATAGTTGTAAGGAACAGGTTGCCGGTAACCTGGGCTTCCAACATACGGTCCCCCCTGGGGGCTCCCAAAGAAGGGTGCTGCTGGTCTCAGACGTCCTACAAACAAAAACCAACTTCAATAGTCACATTACATAAAACGGACGATATTGATCTTTTAATGTATCTAGTTTGTTTTCTTTTCCTTGCGACTATATTGCTACCAAAAGAAAGTGCAAGGAAAAATGAAATGGTCCTCCTAACTTGTGAAAATTGCATTTGATCTGGAGGTTGAATATAATCACATGTAGGGTAGAACATGATTGCATTTCTATGTTGTGATATAAGAAGTCAATAGGCAAACAACACTACATATATGACTGCATGAGTGAAATTTCTGATAAATTATGTCACAGAAGTGCATATACAGTTAAGAAGCAAAAGAGACAGGGAGCAACTGAATGGCTTGATTTTGTTAGTTTCCCATAACTCTTTCAACCTGCAAGAGTGCAAGCAAGTAGATAACCCCCGTATGTGGTAAAGCTTCTAGTATGAGGCACTCAGTTCAGCACCCATAAGGCTGAACCAAAACACTTCCTTGACCCTATTCAACCATACTTGTATCTAGGCCTGCAAATGCTTACCAACTGATTTCATCCCAATAACAGGTAAATTATCTTGATTCAATATATCTGAATTCATATTTGATCGACATTATTCAAATACGAATTAGTATCAATATATTTAATTCAATTAAATATCCGACTGATTGTTATTTCATATACGTACATCCGATCCAAATTTTCGGTATTTGAATCTCAATTCGATTAACCAATACAGAATATATAATATGTAATAATATATATATATATATATGTATGTATGTATATATGTGTACAATATACAATAATACAACACGAGATAATACTAGATACAGGATATAATACACAGTTTACATGAAACAATATGCTATTATACTTATTAATTAAATTCCTAAATTAGTTGCCTACCCCACACTCACTCACCTCCTAAAAGTTAAAAGGTAATAATCCTAACAACCCGAAGAAAGATGCTTTAATTTGTCAATGTATTTTCTTTTATGATATTATTTTGTGAAGCCCAGCTAGATTAAATTTTGTATTTTATGGAAACTGTAATCAGCAGAGTTGAACTCAAATTCGGCTCAAGATTGGGATATGGATTCCAAAATGGTTCAGATTTTTTCCAGGATGTAATGCATTAGTTGAAATCAGATGCAGGTATCAGCATATTCGATTCAATTTAAATTTGTTTTCAAACCTACTTGCATCCATAAAAGAAAAATATAGCTCATCAAACACTAATTCCGAAGGGTAGAAGCAAATCCATTTCAATAAGGGGAGCAAACCCTATAAGTGGGTGTTGGTTCGTAGGATTCCGACGGAATTCGAAGGGATTGGAATGATCAATTCCATTGACCAAATCCTTTCCAGGCGTTCAATTTACCCATAGAATGGAATTGAATTCCACACATTCCACCATTCATGGATTTGGTCATTCCATCACAATTGGGAAGGAATTCAATTCCATTCCTTCTCAATTTCTCAAAAGACAGAATTATCCCCATCTTCCCTACTTGATTTGAACCACTGCCAACCACCACCAACCACCGCTGATTTGAACCATCGTTCTGCACCACCACCGACCACCACATTTCTGAACCACCATCGACCTGAACCACCACCAATCTGAACCACAGCCGACCACCACCTTTTTGAACCATCGCCGACCACTACCATTCTGAACCACCGCCGACCACCGCCGCGAACCACCGCTGTTCTAAACCACCCCCAACCACTACCGATCTAAACCACAGTAGTTGGATTTCAGTTTCAAAATTATAAAAAAAAGGTATTTTGGTCATTTACCAATACTTCATTCCAATTCCAAAGCTACAATATATGAACCAAACAGACAGATTCCTATTCCTCTAACAGATTCCATTCCATTGTATGTCAAACCTGATAACATTCCATTCTAATTCCTTCAAAGTCAAACTCCTTTTGACAGATTCCATTCCATCCAAAAACATCTTGTGAACCAAACGCCCCCTAACAATCTAGGGAACATGAATCACATCACCATATTCCTCCTATCTAGCACCAACTCCTATGTTATGCACTTATACTCCAATTAGTCAATCTCTCTTCGTGATTTACCACAAGTTAATATTACAATCATGTTCATCTCTCTTGCTTAAGAATGCAACCAAACATCCCTGTCATGCATTAGGGCAAACAAATAGAAAAACGGTAGCACAACTTGATCCAAATGACTAGATCTAAAGCAACCATGCCATCACTATCAGTGATCCCTGATATTCTACCCAATTGGCAACTCATAAAACTTCTTTTGCATATCCTTATTTCTACTCCAATTCGTCTTTATGTGGCCACCCCCCCCCCCCCGGAATAGCATTCCCACTACACAATCTTGTGCATATGATCTCTTGGTGATTTTGGACCCTAAAACATATGGAAGTTGCACTGAACTATCATATTGCAAAACATACCAATCAACTTTTAGTGTATTTTACATTTGTGAAAATATGCATGTTATCATTGCTAAGAAACTTATAAGGATTTGCTTTATAAATTATAATATTCACCTCTTGGTCAACATATAACTGATAGGGTCTTTAAGTAGCCTATTCTAGTATCAAGAGGTACTACACAAGGTTTTCTGTACAAAGCAAGGTAGAGAACCATTCCATCCTTCTTTTGATTATCTTTTTCTCTAGTTCTAGTCGCTTAAAAGAGTAAACAACTCGAAGAGTTGTCTCTCCGGGTGTGATGACCATCAATCCCTTGACTCTACTACTTCCATGTCATAGTTCTTACTCTAGCCTTAGCATAGGCAAAAATATTATAGTTTCATGAATCAGAAGCATATAAACTCAATCTTATATATGTTATATGTCTCACTAATAAACCACTTAGCACTTATAGCGGTAAAGAAAAATCCCAAAATTGTCCACATAGTTCTATTCTCCTTTACAGAATGTTTTCAAGCAGCAGCATTTACAATATGTCACAGTCAAAGCTCCTTATCCAAATTCACCCATAATACTTGAAGATATTGTGCAACATGCCGCTAACTTCCTTTTTAAGCCAAGTGGGTGCTAAAAGATAACACTCTCCAATAACTACAAATTTCAACCTCTAAAAAATTAAGACCGTTTAAGAGATCGAAAGAGGGTGTTCGAATAACACAGATGTAACAGATGGAAAGAAAAATGTTTGAATCTCCAAGAAGGGTGTTTGAATAACACAAATGTACACTATCTTTCAATCTAAAATAGTGAATAAAACATGCAATTACTAGGTAAATGATGCTTTTCTCTAGATCTGCTGCTAATGTATTATTTAGTTGTCGTCCAGCATTGCTCTTTATATTTCTCAGTAACTTTACATTTGATTGGATCTTTTTAAATCGATTCAGTTCCTTCTGACAGAGACCACCCCCTTTTGTCTTTCTGATCTCTGTGCCATCCTTAACAGTTACCCTACTATAGGGAAGCAATTCTATGTATTCCTTCATGAGGCCGAGATGCTCACATTTTTCTGGATGAGATTAATCGACTAGACAGGGGTGTAAACACTCACTCGGAACCACTACTTTTGAGAAGTCCAAGTTCAGGAAAGATAAGAGAATGATTGCAGAAGAAGTTAATTGGAAAGGTTAAAAATCCTACCAAAAGGCAAAGGCAGATGGGCCCGACCAAGTGATGCCAAATTACAGTTTGCCCTTCTACCATCAATAACTGGACTAGGATTGGCACAAGCCCTCTTTGCAGCTTCAGCATCGCGAAACGTTACCTGAGCTCATGAGAATTATAGCAACAATAGTAACTAGTAAGTCAAAGAACCTATGACTAATGATTCAAGGAGACATAAGAAAAGGATGTATATGAAAAGAAACCATAAATAATCCTGAAAGTGCATAAAATATATCAACCTAAAAGTACATAATCAATTGTATTTTCATCGAATAGACCAGTTCATTCACATTAGATAAAGATTTAATTAACCCAAGGAGTTAGCTTCACAGCATTTGATTGGTCACTTCATGCCTCATCATGTTCGAATCAGATCAGTACTATCCATCCCTTAGGGCCACACATATTGGCAGATGGGCATCAAATTTTCTGGGGACATGTAGAGAGGGTGTTTTGCATGGAATACGTTGACTGGTTGCATTACAGAGCAGGATAACACCATATTTTAAAAGGAAAAAGAAGATGAAGATTTACTTGATTCTTTTTAATGAAATGTCTGTTCTTTCATTATTTGAGCATCCAACATTCATATACTATGCTCATTTAAATTCTTGGAAGCCAACTTTAGTTTTGTTCCTTCAAGCAAACTCCCGTTAAACATTACACCACAATTATATCATCAAGATTCAAGAAAAATAGAATATATTGGAATTTACGGCCACTAATAAACAAACTTGAGAATTGCAGAGCGTAAATGTTTCAGAGTCCAAAATGAACAAACCCATATTCGAAATGGCACAAACAAACAAGACATTCCCAGTTTCGAAGCAAATTTGTACTTTCAGCGATATTAAGATTGTAATAAAATAATAATAATCTTAAAGAACGAAAAAACAAAAAATTACATTTTTACCTTCGTAAACCAATTAAAGATAAATTATGACTTTTTTGGTCGAACCAGAATTTTGAAATCTGGAATTCCCAGGACTTCGTTTTTGTACTTCACATACAACGTACCATAGTGCCACCTCTTTCCACGAATTTTAGATAAGCATATATCAATTTTGGAAGCCAAAAACGTCTTTTTCAGCCACAAAAGTTGGGAAGTACCTTTAATTTCTGAACGGATGCGTAATAGTATATTAAGCATATTAAGCGCAGTAAATAATGAAACGCACATCTACAGTCATCGTGATCAGATATCAGAGTGCCTAATCCTAAAAATATGCATATAAATACTCACAAATCCATAGCCTTTTGATCTCCCAGTATGCTTATCAGTGATGACAACAGCCTCTAAAATATCCCCAAACTGTTCAAAATAACGATGCAGCGTCTCGCTCTGTGTCTCCCATGCAAGCCCTCCAACGAACACCTTTGTATAGGTAGTATCCCCAAATGGATGATTCAGGAACTGTAAACCCGACCCGCTTCCTCTAATAGGCTGATACGCAGCCATCTAATTACAATTGTGTAAATATACAAATTGTATCTATATACTCTAAATCAGAAGCTACTTTCAATTCTCTGATCTCACCTAGCGATCAAATCGATGACGACTGTAGAGAAAAACCCCTGTAGAACCCTAAAAAATTATGCCAGCCAGCCAGCCACAGAGAGAGAGAGAATTGGGTTTTGAAAATTACAGGCGTAGAAAGAATCTTCGAGGAATTATTTGGCCAGCAGTGGAGATTGATGTCAAAGAACAAAGTTACAGTTTAGTCCCTGTAGGTTTTATCATATTTACTCATGGCTTATACTTTTCACAAATCTTCTTATAGTACCCCTTCACTTATTTAGAAAGTTGGTTGCTATTTCTTCTTGGTTGTATTTGAAATAAAAATTGAACGAAAACCATGATTATACAACCTGTTCGGAGGCTTCAACAGAGTAAGACACAGCAGGGAAAGGTTGAACTGTATTTTTAATACTGATGGCTTTCAATAACTTTATATGTTCACACAACTTGGTTTAACATTTTTTATATGAGAGGATATTCACTCCTTTTTGTCCCTGCAATACCAAATTGAACAAGTTATACAGATTCTTCATCTCCAATAATGAGGCGTGTCTTTGGTGGTTTGAACTGATCTGTTTGTTGTAGTCCTTGACAGGAAAATCTCGGATTAGAGGATAAATCATAAGACTTTGGCTTTAAACTCATCCGGTTATTTGATGCTTGGCTTCAAAGCAACCAACTTTCTAAATATATCAGTTTCACCACTTAATAATTTTACTGCTCACAGTTAAGTTCTCAAACTTTGTAATTTGTACTCGCTCTCGATGTTGAAAATAAGTGAAGTCAACCATCATTATTCTAATTATGATTTTGATTATTCAAGTTGCAAAAACAATCTTGAAAACACACATCTAAACACCCCATAAATGGTTCAGAAGAAAAATCTCAAACTGTTATTTCCCTCTTTTATTTCTAGATAAAACTTTGTAGGACCAGTATGGCATATCAAGAAACTAAAGGGGGTAAAGTGAAAATAACTTTTCTATATGCTTTTTGTTGGCCGAAAAGAGGTAATACTAGAAGTGGCATCCTATGGGCTATGGATTAAGGAAATGGATAAAAAGACGAGGGTCAAGGTGAGGATAAAACAGTCTTTTTACAACCATATGAAGATAAACATCAAAGTGCTGCCGTTTTGTAAGGGAGTTCATGAGAAGGACACCAAAGTGTTGTCGTTTTGCAAGGGAGTTCAGTGAGAAGGACACCTACAAGATGACAATGGAGATTAGTCTGGCTTCCAAGTTTCATCTTATTCATGCCATCACTCATCATAAATATTTATTTTTTTGTAATTAAAATTAATTTTTATTAATTTTTTTAAATAATTAATATATATATATATATAAGCATTTATAATATATATACAAGTAAAAAACTAGAAAGATTATAAAAAAAATCATTGTATCAGCTTTTTTTCGAAATTTAATATAATATAATCGTTTAATTATAATATAAAAGCTGTGAAAAAAATCAAAAAATAAAAAAGTCCGTACAAAAAGATACAATAAACAAACAAAAGAAAGTATAATTGTGAAAACGAAATACTGAGATGGACCTTCCTCATCACGTGTATACCTGTACATACATTATTATTTTTGGTATAAAAATTTCTATTACTCTAAATAGTTTTGTAAGACAACCAAGTAATCGCAAACTGTATCGTTTGAAAGTTTTGTAAACGAGAACTATATCTTGTCCAAAAACAAATCAAACTAATGACGAGATCAAAGATCGGATATTGGACGCGTAATGCATCCCTTGTTCCCAACCCTTGTTTAAGCCCCCTATCCCAACCCCTACCTAACTAATCCCCGATGGATTCCGAGGGAAGGAATCCCTAGCGGGTTTAGGAAACCCGTTGGGTACCCGTTTAATTAAAAACAATAAAAAATAATATATTTTAGGGAAAAGTACAATAAAAACCAACGAACTTTCTTGTTTGGAATGATTAAGTCCTTGAACTTTTTTTTGGAACAAATAAGTCCTTGGACATTCCAAAACATGTTAAATAAGTCCTTGGACATTCCAAAACATGATTATATATATATATTGAATTTTGTTTTGTTAAAAGTATATAGAAATGATATGTAATTCTAAAATGCAAGGATGTATTAATTTCTACATAAAAGAAAAGTATTATTTTTATTCTTAATTGTTAGACAATGTATTTTCTACTCAAAATAATAGCGTACTTGATTTTACTTTTTTTGTTCATTATAAGAAAATTTTATCAAAAACCAATAATACGCACAACATTTAACTTGGTAGTTAAAGCGATATTCTTATTTAAATTTAAATATAAAGTTAAAAGAATTATTTTTGTTTTCTTTTCTAGCAAAAATTAACAAGATTTCAAATTATATTCGATAAAAAATCATAATGTTGAACGTTTGATTGTTCGAGAACAAAATCAAAAACATAAAACATACAATCATTAAAGATGTACAAAAGGACCAATGATAGATATTGAATAGAGATCGACGAGGGCCTGACTTTCAAGAACAAGTTACGGGCTCGATCTAGATCCAGATCCAGGCCTTCGGGTCCAAATCAAGTAAAGCTTTTAGATAAATGATTGGTCCTTAAAACTCTCTGTTTAAGTTTGATTTGAGTCATGTTCATTCACAATTGAGTTCTGAATAACAACTATTTTATATAATATAAATATGTATAAAAATAAATAAGGGCCCTATAAAGATCGGGCAGTCGGGCACAACAATTTGGCTTCCTGCTCTGAATCATGCCTTATTTATTTGTTCAAGACCACTTATAGAAAGATTGAGATCATTTTTTGATGTTTTTCTACAAACCTTGTTGTGAAGTCATTTATCTCTTTAAAGACTAAAAAGCGGTGCAACACCCTCAAATTTGAAAAGAGCGTCTAATTAATTTTTTTCCACAATGCATCAATTAAGGATTTAGTCCTTTTTCCAATTTCAACTTTTGATCACCTACAACGACAATCTAAGTTTTAACATCAATAAAGCAGATCCCAACCTTTACGCAAGTCTACAACAAGGGACGAGTGTTATTGAATCCAATATCAGTTGCTTACCCAACATGTGGATGATGTCTCCCGGAAAGCTAATTCCTTCTCATGCCTCTAACTAGCACTCATTACACCAAAGTGTTGCTAGTATCATTTCACCAAGGACCTGATGCATATGCTAACTGTGATAATCGGTTTTCGATTATATAATTTGGGTTGGTTTTAAAAGTTCTGGTAAGTAAGCCAACTTTAAATAATTGTGTTTATGTGATTATGTTTATGTGGTTACCTGATTCTTTATTCCACCTATGATATATATATATATATATATATATA